GAGTGCAAAGCCAGGAGTAACTCCTAGGCATCTCCGGGTGTGACCAAAAAGCAAAAGACAATCTAAACATTTAAAAAATTTAAAAATAAGGGACTGGAGCAATAGCACAGCGGGTGGGGTGTTTGCCTTGCACGCAGCTGACCTAGGTTCGATTCCCAGCATCCCATATGGTCCCCCGAGCACCGCCAGGAATAATTCCTGAGTGCATGTACCAGGAGTAACTCCTGTGCATCATCAGGTGTGACCCAAAAAGCAAAAAATAAATAAATAAAAATGAACTGAAAACGAAGTACAAAAAATTGATTTAAAAATGAGTCAAATACTTCTATAAGAAAAATGAAGAATTTTATGAGGCTGGAGAGATAGTATAACAGATAAGGCACTGGCCTTGCCTGTGGCTGACAGGCTGGATCCTTGGTACCCCAGATAGTCCCCTAAGCCCGCCAGGAGTGATTCCTAAAAGCAGAGCCAAGAGTAAACCCTAAGCACAGCCATGTGTGGTCCAAAAACCAAAATAAATAAATAAAAATTTTAAAAAGCAAATTAAATTCAACTGAATAGGGGCTGGAGCAATAGTACAGCAGGTAGGGTGTTTGCCTTGTTTGCAGCTGACCCGAGTTCAATCCCCAGGATCCCATATGGTACCCCAAGCACCACCAAGAGATTCCTGAGTAAAAGCCAGGAGTAACCAACCCCTGAGCATCACTGGGTGTGACCCAAAAAGAAGAAAAAAAATCCAACTGAATAGTAGTAAACTGAGAATGTTTTCCAGAAGGTAACAGAGAAATATAGATAGAAATTAAGAAATAAAGAATAAGAAATAGCAGCCACCATGTAACAAAAGGTGCAGGTTCACAACTCATCTCTAAAGAGATGTAAGCCAAACCACCACTGAAACTTATCAGTACAGGGGTCTTCACTAACTCTGGGGCCCCCTTGGGAGGGGAGCGAGCTAAGAATCCTCCCTGTTGTACAGATTCTAGAGCTCCTAGCATGTGACCACAGGACCTCCAAACTCCACAATACTGACAGTCCAGCAGGAGCATACCAAATTAGATGAGAAATTAGCATAGAAGTCAACTAAGCTCAATAAACAAAAACAGTAACACAGAAGGCTAAACTAGAAATGAACTCAGTAACCCCTCAGACTTAATAACTTTAATAACCCCATAGGGAGATAATTTTCACAAAATTTTTTATTGAAGTATTTTTTGATAATCCTATTAGTCATTTTGTTGTAACAAACAACATGAAATAAATTATTCTGTGCCCACTAAAGGTGCAGACTTGGCAGGGGTGGAGGGGTGGGAAACTGGGGACAATGGTGGTGGGAAGGCCACAATGGTGGTGGCACTGGTGCTAGAAAATTGAATGCCGGAAACAACTGTATTATGAACAACTTTGTAAACCATGATGTTTTAAATAAAGTTTATTTTTAATTTTTGGATCTATGGGGTCCACCTGGAAATGCTCAGGAGTTACTCCTGGCTCTTCATGCAGGAATTACTACTGGTGCTCAGAGGACCATATGGGATGACGGTGATCAAACCCAGATCAGCTGCATGCAAGGCAAACACCATACCAGCTGTACTATCACTCCGGCTCCATAACTTTTTTTTTTTAAAGAAATAAGAGACATAAAGAGATGTAACAGTTAAATTATGATACCTGTCAGATGCACGAAAAAGTACTCAGCCTTAACAAAAGTTAAAGTCACGCAATTTGCTGCAATGACGACAGATCTGGAGAATGTTAAGTGAAACCAATCAGAGGGAAACAGAATGACCTCTGTCATATGTGGGATATAAAGAAACTTCATAAGGAAATATCAATGCCCGATGGCAATAGAAATGAAGAGCAGAAGAACTGGTCTTCAGTAGAAAGCTTGGCACTGGGGCAGGGTTGACAGAGATAAGGGAACACTAGTAGGGAAGGGAACACTAGCACAATGGGGGAGGGGAAAATATGCCTGCCACAGAGGCAGGCTCAATGGGGCAGGAGGGAAACTGCACTAGTGTTGGAAAAACATACCCCTGAAACTCAATCATAAATATCTTTGTAACTTTGCAATTCACAACGATTCAACAACAAATTTAAAAATAAAAATAAAAGATAGAATTTTATTAAGTCATTTTAAAAAATTGAGGACTCACTATATCCCGTTAAAATTTAAAATGCTCATCGTGTAATTAAACTGCAGATCACACACAATATTTTTCAAAAACCCAGAGATAAGGGTAGATTACATAGAAAGAAATAGTTAAGAGTCAGGAAGATAGCTGAAGTGGTAGAGCACACGCCTAGCATACACAAGGCCCTAAACTCATCCCTGGTACTACACACACACATACATCCTACACATACACATTCTCCCACACCCAACACACAACACTATAGAAAAACAAAAAATATCTCAGTAAAATAACATGCAAAAAATGTTTAAATAATTGGAGGCTTAGAACTTAAACTATTAATCAAGACTGAAGTACTTAACATAAACAAACTCCCGGGGCTGGAGCAATAGCACAGTGGTTAGGGTGTTTGCCTTGCATGCCGCGGACCCGGGTTTGATTCCCAGCATCCCATATGGTCCCCAAAGCACCGCCAGGAGTGATTCCTGAGTGCAGAGCCAGGAGTAACCCCTGAGCATCAGCTGGGTGTGACCCAAAAAGGAAAGAAAAAAAACATAAACAAACCCCCATTAAAACTCAAAACATGGTGTATTCATTTGGCACGAAAGAACAAACTGCAAGAACCCATGATTGAAAAAAAAATATTAAAAAGCTAAATATATGTGGCTAAAATGAAATCATCACTGACAGTACAAACCTACTAGAATTTTCCAACATTGAGATGGACTCATAGGGAGTGGTCTCATCCTTGGAAGAGCACATTTTGCGTCTGCACAACACCACCTCACACGTTTAGGGTACCCTGTCCTAAGAGGCTAAAATAAATGACCTCCCAGAGACCTACTAACCACTGGGGCAAGGGTTTTTGTTTTGTTTTTTAATTTTTATTTCTTGCAGGAGCTGCCAAGGTTCCACGAAGCACAGGGCCACAGACGTAGGAACCATGCACTCTACTGACCACATTCTCTCCTGGCCCCTTGATCATTATGTTCGTAGCAATTAGACACAGCTGTTCAAAAACATTCCCTTGATGAACTGTTTAACATCTGCGTCAAAGCATGGCCCCACCCTGAAGTTCTAGACTCAAGTCTGGACTCAAGTCTTAGTTCAGGGCACCATTCGCATTCCTATAATCCATTACGTTTACAAAAAAAAAAAATAAGATAATGATGATGATAATGATTCGGGGGGGGGGGGGCTAGAGCAATAGTAGAGTGGGTAGGGTGCTTGCCTTGTGTGTGCTGACCTGGGTTCGATCCCTGGAATCAAGTATGGTCCCGAGTCCCACCACCAGAAGTGATCCCTGAGCGAAAAGGCAGGAGGAAGCCCTGAGCACCGCCAAGTATGGCCAAATAAAAATAAATAAAACAAGGAAAGAAAGGAGCATTCTAGGGGCTGGAGAGAGGGTCCCGGGTAAGGCCCGGGCGGTAGTGGAGCGGGCAGGGCGCTTGGGACGCCTTTTATAAAAGACGCGGCAGGGAGGGAGCACGCATGCTCACGCCCGCGAGCCGCCGGCTCCCTTTCCAGGTTTCCATAGGGCTCAGACGCCACTAACATCGCAACGGAAACTCCACGACCCGAACCTCTTTTCCGCCCAAGGAAGCCCATTTATTCCAAGGCTTGCATTCCGGCCGGAGAACCAGCACGGCGAGCAGGCCGCTTGCCTCGCTCGCGGCTGACCCGGGTTCCACCTCCGTCCTCGCTGTACGGTCCGTCCCCTCCCCCCCCTCCCCGCCCCCTGGCCCAAGAGCGAGCCCAGAGCACGGCGGGGTTATACGGGCAACCACTGAGCCCCGCAAGCCTCCTTTCCGGGGTCGGCGCGGGGCAGCCCGAGGCTGGGGGCAGGGCCGCCCCCTACCCCGGTGGAGGGGACGGCGAGCCGCAGAAGCGCCGTCCTTACAGGGTCCGCGCGCCACCGCCCCCGAGCGAGCCGGGGCAGGGACGACGGTGGCGGTGACGCCGCGGGCCGCGCGGCGGCGGCGGCGGGTCGCGACGCGAGCGGCGGCGTCGTCCGGGCTGAGGCGCTGAGGCGCGGCGGCGCGGCCGAGTCACGCCCGCGAAGCCCGCGAAACCCGCGGCGTCCGCGGCGGCGGCGGCGGCGGTCACGCCGGCGGAAGCACGACCCCGAAGCGTGCGGGCAACGTCGCCGGCGCCCAGGAAACCGCCGCCCGCCTCGACCCCCATCCCCGCGGCTGAGTGAGACGCCGAGAGACGCCTCAACCCCAGCGAGCCCCTCCCCCCGGGGCCCCCAGCCAACTAGCCTCCCGCGACCCCGCACGGCCCCCGCCCCCCGCGCCGCCGGCCGCAGTCACGCCCCCCAAACAGACCCTCCCCCCTCCCCCCGGGCACGCCCCGCGCCGGGCCCCTCGGACTCGCCCCCCTCGCCTCACAAACCTTCTCCCGCAGCGCTTCTTCCCGGCGGCCTCGTCCACCAAGGGGGGCAGTGCGCTCGCACCCGCCGCCGCTAGGCTCGGGGACCCGTGCGGGCGCCCAGGCCGAACGCCAGCCCTGGGCCCGCGCCGGTTACCTGGCCGCGCGCTCCCGCTCCGCTCGCGCAGCCTCCCCCTCCGCAGAGCGCAGCCCGCCGCAGGCTCGCGCGAACGCTATTAGCGCACAATTAGTTTAAACGGTGGCCCCGCCCCCTCAGCGCTGTCCTCCGATTGGTTCCTGTCGGCGGGCGTCAAGTTGAAAGAGCCTGGAACCGGAAGTACGAGACCCGCTGGGCGGGGAATAGCGGCAGTTCCGGACGCCGGACTCCCCTTCGACAAAATGGGGACTACAGGTCCCAGAAGGCCTTGCGGCCTCCCAGCCCCGCCCGCAGCAAGCCCAGCTCCCAGGAGGCCTCGCGGTAGCGCCGGTGACGTAGTGGCGGTAACTACGCAGTTACCATGGAGCCGTGCTGAGTTACGCTGAGGTGGAAGGACGCCGAGGCTGCCCGGGAAGCTGCTGCGGGTGAGTCGGGCGGGAAAACAGGAAACCCGCTCCAGGGGACTAGGACTCTGCGGAGAGTGAAGGGGCACACAGAAAATAACTAAGAGCGCCATTTCCGAGGACTTGAAACTCCGTCTTCCCATCCTGCACCACTTTTACAGTCAAAAAGACACACATCGGGGTCGGAGAAAGAACAAGGCAAGCGGCCGACCTGGGTTCGATCCCCGGCGCCCCGTATGGTCCCCACCGAGCCTGTCAGGAGTGATCCATAAGTGCAGAGCCAGGAAAAAGCCCAGAGCACTGCCGGGTGTGGCCCCAAAACAACCAGAAAAAGACATTGCGCAGCCGGAGCGGTTGTACAGCGGATAGGGCACTTGCCTTGCACGCGTTGGACCCGGGTTTGATCCCCGGACCCCAGTTGGTCCCCAGAGCCCACCAGAAGTGATCCCTGAGCGCAGAGCCACAAGTACGGCCTGAGCACCACTATGTGTGACCCAAAAACCAAAAAAATACAAAACTATTAAAAAAAAAAACTTCATTTATAGGGGATAGACAGGCGCAGGGTGGAAGGGCACTGAAACACAAACCCATAGAGATGGAGCGGAGTGGGGGGGGGGGGACTGGGAGTGCCTTAAATTCCTAATCCAGGGCCACAGAGATAGTACAGCAGGTAAGGCACTTGCACATGGCTGACCCTGTTACAATCTCGGACACCCCATATGGTCCCCTGAGCATGACGAGCAGTGATCTGTTGCTGAGCATCGCAGGATGTGACCCCCAAAAAAAAACCCTCCTCTTCCATCATAAACGGGGAATACACACACACCCAATATAACTTTGTCAAAATCCCTGACAATTCCTGGGAGTGTCAAACATTCCTGTAATGGCCTCAAATGTGGAGTGTGTTTTTCATCTGATGAACGGAGACCCTTGTAAAGGCATGAGTAGCATTAGAGTAAATCACAGAACCTCAATTCCAGAAATACAGGAAACTGCCCCTTTGAGACCAAGCTGGAAGACCCCAGGGTAGAGCCTTCTCAGGGTCAACAAGATCTTCCCATATATGCACTGGAAGTGTCCTGCCCAATCAGGCTCTTCCTCCTGTACTTCCTCTTTGTTCAGCTCTGCAGCTCGACAGTTGGTGCTTCAGTTCTTTGAAGATTTTCTTACTAGGCCTAAGACACATTCACGTCCAGACTCCTTTGAGCCTTCGGAGTCCGGAAAGGTGGCCCTGTTTCACAGATGGAAAATAGAACTGAAGAGAGTGAGTGACATGCCTCAGGCCACACACCCAGGGGTGGCAGCGGGAAGAGACTGCAGGTCATCCAGCTGTGGCCAAGTCTCGAGCTTGAGCCTACAGCTTCTGTAGTGCAAGGTCTTGCTCCAAGGTCCAGGTTACACACTGCCCAGGGAAAATGAGCCTATGTGGCCCACCTACACTGGAATCCTTAAAGATGAGTTTCAAATTCTTTGAACCTTAATTGGGAAGGGCTGGAAGACAGCTCAAGTGGTAGCGCATGGCTAGCATGTGTGAAGTCCTGAGTTTGAATCCAGACCTGCACGGGCATCTTTTGAGAATGTCCCTTTACCCCCAAATAAAGGGAGAAGGGGAATAGGGACTGAAGACATTGGGAACCAAGCAGATTTAGCCAAACAGGAAAGAGTCTGGTTATAGGGTATCCAATGCTGCTAATGGCTCTGGCTGGAGTGGCGTCTAGCTGTCTCTGAGCAGGCCTCTTCTACCTTTAAAGTGTCTCCAGGATTTGTCTAACCCTCTCCCCAGTTATCTGTATGTTCTCCTCTTAACATATTTTCGTCTACAGTCTCAGGTACTGCCTGTATGCAGACGTGCATAGGTGTTTCCTCCAGCCCAACACTCCTCTCAGCTTCAGATCTAGACCAGTTGCCTCTTTAGTTTACTTCAGGGTGTGTCAAACACAACTAAAACTCAGTATGTGTAGGGCTAAATTAATGATCCATGTTAAGTACTCTGGATCTCTTCCTGTGTCCTCACCGCTAATCCACTATTATGGAATGCCACTTGTATTTCCCATCTGCCATAAACTACCAGGTTTAATTCTTAAATATCTTTTCTCTAGTCCTAGCTACTATCACAACTTTCCTACTCCCCCTGCTAGCCAGTTTGTATTTTGCAGCCAGAGAAATCTTTCAAACTATAAATTTCAGAGTGTTCTGTTCACTTCCTCCACCTCCTCCTCTTTACAAATATGCCTTGTGACTTCCTATTAGTTTGCATCTACAGCACCATCTCAGCTTGATGCATGTCCACCTCTGGTGTGGGGTTGTTCTGGTTTTGTTTCCTTTTCCTTTTGTTGGGGGGGGGGGTCACACTTGGCAGTGCTCAGGACTTACTCCTGGCTCTGCACTCCTGGAAGGCTCAGGGGACCATATGGGGTGCCAGAGATCGAACCCAGGTCAGTCGCATACAAGGCAAACATCTTACCAGCCATTCAATCACTGACCCACTTTCCACCCACCTTAACAGCTTTTAGTTTTACCATTACAGACCCCTCCCATGCTTCCCTCAAGTATCTTAAGGTCTTGGGGATGGACCAATAGCACAGTCAGTAGGGCGTTTGCCTTGCATGCGGCCGACCCCGGTTCGATTCACAGCATCCTATATGGTCCCCTGAACACCGCCAGGAGTAATTCCTGAGTGCATGCGCCAGGAGTAACCCCTATGCATCGCCAGGTATGACCCAAAAAGCAAACTGTCACTGTACTCCCATTGTTCATCGATTTGCTCAAGCAGGCCCAGTAACGTCTTCATTGTGAGACTTATTACTGTTTTTGGCATATTGAATACGTCACGGGTAGCTGGGCAGGCTTTGCCGTGAGGACTAGATACTCTCGTTAGCTTGCTGTGCTCTCCGAGAGGGGAGGAGGAATCGAACCTGGGTCGGCCGCATGCAAGGCAAACACCCTACCCGCTGTGCTCTCTCTCCAGCCCCAAAAAAGAAAAAAAAAATTATTGTAAGGTCTTCAAAATTCCCAAGTAGCCCCTCATTGTAGTTTTTCGCATGCTGTTCTTTTTATTCCTCTTCCCCAATAAGGGAATTTTTAGTGGTATTTTTACTGAATCACTGTGAGATAGCCCATTGCAAAGCTGTTCATGATTGGGTTTCAGTGATACACTGTTCCAATACCCATCCCTCCACCAGTGTATATTTCCCAGCACCGGAATCCCCAGGTTCCCTCCCACTCACCCCTAACTCCCCTCCCCCCAGCCTGCCTCTATGGCAGGAACCTTTGTCCTCTCCCCATGCCTCCCTTCCCCTCCCTTCCCCTCCCCTCCTCCCACCTTCCCTCCCTCTCTCTCTCTTTCTCTCCCCCACCCCCCCTTTTTGGGCATTGCGGTTTACAATACAGGTACTTAAAGGTTATCATGTATATACCTTTACCTTTCAATACTCAGTCCTTTCCTTCTGATTTCTTCAGTCTATTTTCCTTTTTGTTTTTGTGTTGTTTGGGGGCCAGTACCCAGCTGTGCTTGGAGCTTACTCCTGGCTTTGCACTCAGGGATCACTCCAGGCAGGCTCCAGGGACCAGATGGGGTGCCAGAGATCGAATCCAGGTTGGCCGTACAAACTGTGTAACTGTATACAAAGGCTGTATCACTCCAGCCCTTCAATCTCTTCTTTAGAAATGTCTTCCCTGATTGCTTAGAACAAGTCAAGTCCCTCAGTTATAGCAGTTCACTCGCCCTTCATTATTCATTGTTGCAGTTCCTTTTGTTTGTTTGGGGGCCATACCCCGTGATGCTCAGGACTTACTCCTGGCTCTTCACTCAGGAATTACTCCCGGCGGTGCTCGGGGGACCATATGGAATGCTGGGGACAGAACCCAGGTTGGCCAAGTGCGAGGCCAACACTTTACCCGCTGTACTATCCCTCCAGCCCCATTGTTAAACAGCTATCATTTGCTATCACTGTAGGGGATACAACTAGAAGAAAACCACCTTCCAAAGAAGGTGGAGTTTATGGACACGAAGAAGCCAAATAATCCTAGAGTTAGGAGTGCCACCAAAGTTGTAAGAATTAAGGTGTTATGGGAGCCCAGAAGAGTAGATCCTACATCCAGAGGATGTAGGGTACTCGCCTCGAAAGAAGTGAAACAGGCTGGAGCAATAGCACAGAGGGTAGGGCGTTTGCCTTGCATGCGGCCGACCCAGGTTCGATTCCCAGCATCCCATATGGTCCCCCGAGCACCGCTAGGAGTAATTTCTGAGTGCAGAGCCAGGAGTAACCCCTGAGTATCGCTGGATGTGACCCAAAAAGAAAAAAGAAAAAAAAAGAGAGGTGAAACATGAGCTGATGTGCAAAGAATTAACATGGCAAAAGGAGGATGAAACTATTCAAACAGAAAAAGATGTATAGGCTGACACTCAGAAGCAGGTGCAGGGAGTCTAGAGAGGTAGCATTCGCCTGTGCTATAGACTTGGGGGAGGGGTTTAAGGGTGGGAGGCCCAGGATGCAGGTCTGTGGCAGAGCACTTGGTTTGCATGAAGCTCTGCATAAGAGATTGGTGGTGGGAAGGGGCTGGAGCTGTAGTGCAACAGGTAGGGTGTTTGCCTTGCACATGGCTGACCTGGCTTCGATCCCCAAAATCCCATATGGTCCCTAAGCCCACCAGGAATGATCCCTGAGCACAGATTCATGAGTCATCTCTCATGACCCAAATGGTTTTGGCATCATCCAAAGAACAAACAAACAAAAAGTGAGGAATGGGGGGGAGATTGGTGGACCATCATAATATCACAATGGGTGGGGTGTTTGCCATGCATGTTGATGACCTGGGCTCAATCCCTGGCACCCAAAATAGTCCTCTTAGTTTGCTAAGAGTAAGCTCTAAGCACTATGGTGTGACCCACCCCCACCCACCTACTCCCCTCAACAAAAAACATATATACATATATACAATTTGGAAAAGAAAAGCTCCAGAATAAAGCAGGTATTCCTTGACCCCTGTCATTCATTCCAGACCCATGCAGAAGACTGTGGAATCTGACTAGTTCCTCAGCATGAGGCAGGATAACCACAGGAAACATAAACTCTAAAGAAAGCAGCCTTGTGGCTCAGTTCTTCAGGGAAACTGATATCTTGAGGATACCATTCATTTATTCCTTCCTTTCTTTCTAGTGTCTGTGTGTGTGAGAGAGAGGTAGTAGTGTCTGTGTGTGTGAGAGAGAGAGAGGTAGAGAGAGAGAAAGAGAGAGAGAGATGCTAGGATTGAACCCAAGAACTCATGCTTACAAGGAATGTGCTCTACCAAGGAGCTGCACCCCAACCGATTCCTTCCTTTCACTTATCCGTTTGTCCTGCAAGCCTATATGAATACCCATTCTTTGCCTGGCACACTGCAGGAAGAGAGAAATCTAATCTCTGTCTCTGTCCTCAAACTTAGAAGGAGAAAATGGGAAATTTTTTTTTTTGGCTTTTTGGGTCACACCTGGCAATGTTCAAGGTTTACTCCTGGCTCTACACTCAGTAATTACTCCTGACAGTGCTCAGGGGACCATATGGGATGCTGGATATTGAACCTGGGTCGGCCACGTACAAGGCAAATGCTCTACCCACTGTACTATTGCTGTGGCCCAGTTGTTAACTTTTTTGTTTTTGTTATTTATTTTGGTTTGGGGGTCATACCTAGTGATGCTCAGGGCTTATTCCTGGCTCTGTGCCCAAGGATCACTCCTGGTAAGCTCAGGGGACCATATGGGATCTGGGGATTGAACTCTGGCTGGCCAGGTTCAAGGCAAGCACCCTACCTGCTTAACTATCACTCTGGACCCCAAGAGAATAGAAAATTGTTTATAAAGAAAATGAGTACAGAAAATACAAATGCTTCAACCAAGGCAGGACCTGCTGCAGGAAGTACAACTATTCTCTAGGGGGTTGTCTCCATTTTACAGATGAAGAAACACATAAAATTTTGTTCAAAGTTCAGTGGGTGGGAGAGAGCTCAGTAACTGGAGCACGTGCTGCACATGGAGGGGCCCTGGGTTCAACCCCTGGCACAGCATCATCCCTTGAAGACCTCCAGAAGTGGTTCAAAGCTGAAGAGTTTTTTTTTAAGTTTAGTGGGGACATATATCAGCTATTTCTAAGTAACAGGTCACCCAAAAACATTTCTCTATAACAAGCCACCCCAAAATACACTGACTCGAAATAAGCATGTATTATTGCTCCCAGGTCTTTGTGTTAGCCTAAAACTGATTAGCCATACTCTGACTTGACTGGCTTCCCATTTGTCTGCAGTCATCATTCATAAGTTGAGTGACTGTCATAACCTTTGTCTCTTTTGGGGGGAGGGAAGGTGTTGGGGCCACACCCAGCATTGCTCAGAGGCTTCTGGCTCTGCATCCAGGGCACACTTCTGGCAGTGCCTGGGGAACCATATGCAAGGTTGGGGGTCGAATTGAAGCTGGCCAAGTGCAAGGCAAGTGCTACTATTTCTCTGGCCAAACTGCCACAATCTTGACATGACTAGACTAGTTTGTGACTAGGATGAACTTATAAATTATGTTTGTGGACTCTTTCACATATCCCTCACCCCTTTACACATTTCTCAATTCCTCTGGCAGACTTACCATGTTCTTTTGGTGTTGGATGACAAAGAGCAAGGCAAGTCCTCCCTTTAAGCTTTAGCTTACTTCATGATTACCAACACCCCATTGGCCAGAGCAAATCACATGACTCAGCCCAGTCTTAGACGATTTGGCACTTCCAAGTAACAGAGTAAAAGGGGATAATACAGGTGAGACCATGAATAAGAATCATGAGGGCATCATTTTAATATAGGACAGTGGAAGTTTTGTCTGGCGAGAAGGGTTTCAGGGGGCCAGAGCGATAGAACAGCAGGTAGAACATTTGCCTTGCATGCAGCCGACCCAGGTTTCATCCCCACCATCCCATATGGTCCCCCAGCACCACCAGGAGTAATTCCTGAGTGCATGAGCCAGAAATAACCCCTGTGCATTGCCAGGTGTGACTCAAAAAGCAATCAAAAATCAAGACAAAAATGTAAAACAAAACATTCTTATTTTTAAAAAAAGTAGAATGTGCTACAAAAATATTTCAGGAGAATTTTTGAGCCACACCCGACAGTGTTCAGGGATTATTCCTGGCTCTGTGCTCAGGGACTACTACTGGCATGCATCAGATGTCCACATGGGGTGCTGGGGGTCAGACCTGAGTTGCAGCATATAAGGCAAGTGCTTGACCCTCTGTGCTCTCTCTCCTGCCCCTAAATATACATTTTTTTTGCAGTGCTGAAAATCAAACTCAGGGTCTTACATATGCAAGGCAAGTGGGCTGTCTACCACTAAAGCATAAGGCACATTCCCAGCCCCAAAATTCTTTTCTGCTTTGTTTTTGTGCAACACCAAGTGGTATTCAGGGCTTACTCTTGTCTCTGTGCTCAGGGATCACTCCATATAGTGATCAAGGGACCATTATAGGATGCCAGGGATCGAACCTGGGTCAGTCGCATGCAAAGCAAGTGTTTTTCACTCGGTCACGGTCACAGTCCTCCCGTTGTTCATCGATTTGCTCGAGCGGGCCCAGTGACATCTCCATCGTGAGACTTGTTGTTACTGTTTGGCATATCGAATACGTCACGGGTAGCTTGCCAGGCTCTGCCGTGCGGGCGAGATACTCTCAGTAGCTTGCTTAGCTGTCCGAGAGGGGCGGAGGAATCGAACTCGGGTCGGCCATATTGGCTGCGTGCAAGGCAAACGCCCTACCGCAGCAAGGGCTTTTCACTCTGTACCATCACTCTAATCCCTCAGCCCCAAAGTCCTGATTTGTGGCATCAGTTATCTATTAAATGATATTTTGAATATACTGAATTAAATAGATATATTATTAAATTTAACTTCAGTTGTTTTTTACTTTTCTTCTAATAGCTACTAGAAAATTTTAAATTATATGCGTGAAAAAAATTAAAGAAGTGTCTTGCATTTGTGGCTTTCATTATATTTCTGTTGAATAGCTTTGTTATACAGATCATCCAGTCTTACAAGGATGTTTTTGTAAACACAAAACCGTTTAGAAAGCAGGTAAAGTAGAAATGCAAAGAAAGTGATAGCAGTGGGTAGACTAAGAAAACAGTGATTGACAGAATAGATCCCTGAAAGTCTTTTTGTCTTTTGTTTGGCTGTGTCCCATACAATACCCCTTGGGAAAGTGTGTTTTCTGCTTTCTTCTTCCTGGCAAGTATGTTCTAACAACTGCCCCCAAGTAATTAGAAAAAATGATCAGCTTTTCTTCAGCCAATAGGTCAATTTGTACCACATTGTAAATGACTGATATTTTAAATGACTGATTGATACTCTCTGAGGGTATTTCCATTTTAACAGGAAACAATTCCTGAGCTCAAATGAATGAACCTCTAATGGTGGAATTTCAGGCATCAATGGCAGGTGAGTGGATATGAACAGACTAGATTTTGTTTGGTTTTGTCCTGAGCCCATGCCCCATAGTGCTCAGGGCTGACTCCTGGCTTTGCACTCAGGGATCACTCCTAGCAGTGCTCAGGGGAACATACAGGAATTCAACCCAGGTCCACTGTATACAAGGCAAGCACCCTACCTACTGTCCTATAGTTCTGGCCACTAAACTCTAGTCTTATGTGTCTATGATCAGATACATTTGACTAACTTAGGATGGGGCTGAAAATAGCATCATCTTTTTTTTCAAATTTCCTTTTTTTGCGGGGGGGGGGGGGGGGGGAGTTCCATACCTGGCAATGCTCAGGTTACTCCTGGCTCTGCACTCAGGAATTACTCCTAGCAATGCTCAGGGGACCAAATGTGATGCCAGGGATCAATCCGGGTCGGCCGCATACAAGGCAAACACCCTACCTGCTTTACTATAGCACCAGCCCCACAAAATAGGATTTTTTGATGGCAAGATAAGAGATTGATAAACAAGGTCTCAAATCCTCACCTAAATCAGATTGCAAAGAGCTGTCAGGCACCAGAGCCAGTGCAGGCAAGCCCACAGGGGTTTGTTAAGCAACAGAAAAACCCAGTTGATGTCACCAGTGGTTAGCAAGGCAGCATCCATGGTAACTTCTGTGGAGTAGTAGAAAGGCCTCTGAGTAGATTCCAGGTGAGATAATCATTGCCCCACAACTGACTCACTGGCTTAAGTGTGAGCAAGTACTTTCCTCCTGGGGTGTGTGTGTCTGGAAAGTAGAAATGGGTGTTAGAACATGAGTTCTGGGGGATGTAGAGTAACTGAGGAGAAAGAGCCCTACAGATGCCAGGAACTGTGCTTAGAGTCGTAAAATAGAAATGCAGCCCAGCCCACCTGGAGGAGTGGAAAGCCAGGTGGAGGGCTTCAGGGGAACACGAGGGCTGATGCTTGCTGTCCTCGGAACCCCAGCTCTTCTCTGTCCTCCCAGGCTGAACCTGGACTCCCAGGGCCCATGCTTACACCTGACCAATGATGGCCTGAACTATGAGCAAACAGGACCCGGTGAACACGTCGGTGCAGGAGCCCCCTCTTGACTACTCCTTCCGAAGCATCCACGTCATCCAAGGTCAGCCCCCAGCACAGTGCTTGACTCATCACCACGGCAACCTAAGTGTGGTGAAACCAGGCTTCTTGTTTAAAAGCCTAAGGAGATTCTTGAAATCTCTATATGCTTGGAGTTTTATTTTTTCTTTGTTGTCTTTTTTGGGGTTAGAGGAGGAGGCAGGGGCGGCAGGGGTGGAGGTAGAATTAGAAGAATTTAGGTTTGGATGTGGGGGTTATTTATTTATTGGAGGGGTGGATTTTGGGTCACACCCAGTGGCGCTCCTCCTGGCTTTGTGCTAAGGGATCACTCCTGGCTGGGGGGGTTCAGGGGATCATATGGAATGCCCGGGATCAAACCTAATTTGGCTGCACGCAAGACAAGTGTCCTACCCGCAGTACTATCAGTCCAACCCTGCAAAGGGTTATTTTTTTTTTCCCCAAAAGGAGCAGCAAACTGTAAGGAAACAGGTGATTCTCAGGAATGAATCATCTTCAGGAAATCGGGTGGAAGAAGTGAGATGCCTTGGGTCCAGAGAGATAGTACAAGGGTTAAGGCACTTACCTTGTTGTTTCAAATCCCCAGCACCACATATGGTCCTCTCAGCACTGCCAGGGGTGACTCCTGAGCACGGAAGCCAGGAATAGCCCCTAAGCACTGCCAGGTATGGCCCAACCCCTTCTAAAATAGAAGAGAAAATTGAGAAGCCTGGGAGTCAGAGCTGTCGTTCGATGAGTGGCAATGGGGGCCTTGCATATGTGAAGCCCTGGTTTGATCTTTTGCACCACACTGTCACTGTCACTGTCCTCCCGTTGTTCATCGATTTGCTCGAGTGGGCCCAGTAACGTCTCCATTGGAGACTTTGTTGTTACTGTGTTTGGCATATCGAATACATCACGGGTAGCTTGCCAGGCTCTGCCGTGCGGGCGAGATACTCTCGGTAGCTTGCTGGGCTCTCCAAAAAAGAAACTTAGGACACCAGTTTGTCAGCCAGGTTTTGTCCTTTTATTTATTTATTTATTTATTTTTGCCTGAAGGAAAAACTGGCGTTGCAGAGTTACAGCCAATAGACAAAACCCTCTCTCTTCTGAGGAACCAAGCCTGTTCTGATCACTGGGAGAGCATGTGAGGGCTTGTGTAATGGCATGCTTCCAGTTTAAATATTGATAAATTGTATATCCATTCCAGTCATATCCAAGGTTGTTCCATCGCCGCCCACACTCGCTGCAGGTTCCAGCACTGCCCACACATTCCCATTTTATCACTGCTGGTCTTCATCAGTGGCAGCTAACATTCCTGAAGAGGGGACAGCACAGAAGAAGCCTCAACAGCCTCAGAACCTCCAGGCATTTGCTTCTTCCCATAGAGGTTCTGCTGCCCCCTGGCTTTTGTTCTCTTTTCTCTTGTGAGCACTCAGTACACAAGTCCTCACAGGCTGGCATTCCTCTACCCTAGATCCATTGTCTGACAACTGGTCTCTCAGGCCATTGGTGACCATCTTTAGTTCAAAGAGCAAAATACATGTCCAGGGGAACTATGCTTGGCATGGGCATGGGCTATTTGGGTTGGCATCAGCTACAGTGATAAGTCTCATGGGCATACATCCTATCTTTCGCCAGCTATAGTATACACAGTATCATTTCTGATCAGTAAAGTCTATGTTTCACAAGAGTTTTAATTGAGGTAATGGCTATGTGCAAGATAGCTGAGGTGACGGGGGAGGGAATTATGGTTCTTAGCTACCCTGGAATGCTTAGCTCTAGACAGGAAGATGTAGCTTTGTCATCTGTGGTAACCTCAGCATGAGACAAAAGCTACTACATCCAAGGATGAGTCCATACCACTAAACAGTCTACAGATGCCCCATCCTTGACCCAGCAGTTATTTACCGGGCACCTATGACTAAGCATATATACACACGCATACACAGCATGTGCTTTCCTGAGTGTTATGGAGAAGGACGGGAGAAATATCCAAGGTCCAAAAGACCAGTGTCCTCAGGTTCACCCAGAGCTTATGGAACTTACTTAAATTGAGGTTAATGGACAGGGTAAAGTTTGGGAGTATACTCTACTACATGCCGGTTTAAAATCTAGATGGGGGCTGGAGTGATAGCACAGCGGAGAGGGCATTTGCCTTGCATGGGGCCAACCCGGGTTCGATTCCCAGCATCCCATATGGTCCCCCAAGCACTGCCAGGAGTAATTCCTGAGTACAGAACCAGAAGTAACCCCTGTCCATCGCCGGGTGTGACCCCAAAAGCAAAATAAATAAATAAAATCTAGAAGAAGGATTCTGGGGCTGGAGCAATAACACAGCGGGTAGGGTGTTTGCCTTGCACGCGGCTGACCCGGGTTCGATCCCCAGCATCCCATATGGTCCCCTGAGCACTGCCAGGGGTAATTCCTGAGCGCAGAGCCAGGAGTAATCCCTGTGCATCGCCGGGTGTGACCCAAAAAGCAAAAATAAATAAATAATAAAATCTAGATGAAGGATTCTGAAATGATAGTGACTTTGAAAGGCATCTGATCTATCTCCTGTCCGCGAGTCCTCAAACTTCTGCCCATAACCCTAGAGTGTACCTGGGAAATCCCTAGATACACATCTACCACCCATTTCCATTATGAGGTAATAAATTCTAGTGGGGGGCGGAAGCACACATCCAGCAATGCTCAGGGCTTACTCCTGGTTCTGCACTCAGGGATCACTCCTGGTGGGCTCGGGGAACTATATGGGGTGGTGGAGATCAAATTCAGGTCAGCCATGTGCAACAAGTGCCCTACCCACTGTACTATCTATCCCTCTGGTCCCAAAGAAGTTCCTATATCAAACTAACTTCTGCCCTCTGTGGATACACAGACTAAAAAAAAAAAAAAACAAAAACCTTCATGGAAGCCCTTCAGATATGAACACAGTCCTTTGTAGACTTCCAATTCTCTGACTCTTGATTCAGTTTCCAGACCTAGTTTGGCCTACTCTGAACAAGGCAGTTGGACAGATGCTTGACCAGTACAGTGTTCCGGGAGAATCTGTAGCAGAGTATAGCTGTATACCCTCTACCCCTAAGTACCCCCAGGCAGCCTCAAGCCTGGGCAATGGCACCCCACTGGTGGCTTCCCGAGCATGGGATCAATGCATGTTTGGTGGCATTCCCCATACTGCTTCCCAACAGACTGGCCAGACCGACCGATCCACATGTGAACTGTTTTGACCTCAACATTTTTTTTTTTGGTGGGGGTGCAGGCTTGGGGGTGGGTCCCACACCCAGCAGTGCTCAGGGCTGACTCCTCCCTCTGTGTATAAAAATCACTCCTGGCGGACTCGGGGCCATATGGGATGCTGGGGATTGAACCTGAGTTGGCCATGTGCAAAGCAAATGCTCTTCCCACTGTACATTTTCTCCAGCCCCTATATATTTTGACTTTGTCTTTGCCATTTCACTTCAGGATTTAGACCAGGGCAGGATTAAGAGTTTATTCATGAACTTTTGTATCTCTTCTCCTGCCATTTCCTACCACCTCAGCCCTGGGCTGCGGGGCCTGCTTCTCCCAGCTAAGGCAGAGAGCCATCTGGTGGATCCTGTGTGACCTGCAGCTGAGGAGGAGAGGGGAAGGTCAGCCAAGCAATCATGTTACCAATCCCTCCCCGGGAAGCAGCCGTAGACTGGTAACCAAAAGATTTAGGGATTGAGGCAGGGGAAAGGGGAGAGAGCTCAAAAGGACTAGAGCATATTACTTTGTTTTTGTCTGGGGGCCATACTCACCAGAGCTTGGCTACTCCAGGCTCAGTGCTTGTAGTGCATTCGTGGAGGTGCTCAGGGAACCATGGAGTACCATAGTCCCTGCAGAGTCTAGGGGATTAACCTTGAGCATGCACTTAGGCCTTGGAGCTATAAGAGCAAAGCATACTGCAGAAAGTGCTTTGCTCTCTGGAGACCCCATGTCAGGGCCCTAGCACCCTGCACTGCATTGTGCCCCCAGCACTTCAACTAACAGCCCCCAAAGCACTGTAAGGTGTGACCCCAAAACAAAACAAAGTGATGGGGTAATTGGGGGGAAAAAGTCATCTCTGCCAGACCTGTTTTAGTTTCTGTCACTGGCATTGGTGGGGCCCATCTTCCCTCGATCACATTGTTTAAAAAGGAGAAGAGGTGTGTGTTTGAGGGGGGGTGCTGTGGGGGCATGAGTTCAGATAGATTCCAGAGCTATTCTGTTAAAGTCATCTTATTCCTTGTTCTCTCTCCATGGCCAGACCTCCTGAGAGGACTGTTTAGGCTGCCCACTTACATTTCCTTACTTTCTCTTTATTCCTGAAGAATAGAAATTACAATCTCGTTGTTTCACTGTGTAAGTTCATTGAAATATCTTGCCAAGGTGACTAAAGACTTAGGAGTTGCCAAAGTTCTTTTTTTTTCCCTTTTTCTCTATTCTACATTTGTGTTTATTTTCTCTGACTCCAGAGTGTTTTGTTGTTTGGGTTTTTTTTTTTTTTTGGTTTTATTTTGTTAGGGGGTCACAACCATGGTGATCAGGGATCACTCCTGGAGGTAATCAGGACAATGTAGGGTGTCAGTGACCAAACCTAGGTTGGCCACATCCAAGTTAAGTGCCCTACCCACTGTACTGTCTCTCCAGCCCCAAAGTTACTTATCTTTTTTGAAATCAAACTCCTGTAAGAGATGGACTTCCTAATCTTCTCCTTTGGTTTTGGTTTATGAGTCATATTCAGCAGTGCTCAGGGCTTACTCCTGGGTTTTTGCTAAGGAGTCACTCCTGGCTGAGCTCAAAGTCCATCTGGGGGGGCTAAAACAGTAGTACAGCGGATTAGGGCATTTACTTTACATGCAGCCAACACGGGTTTGATCCACAGCTTCCCATATGGTCCCCCAAGCCCTCCAGGAGTGAGCAAAGAGCGAGGAGTAAGCCCTGAGCACCACTGGGTGTGACCCAAAACACAAGACAAAAATACAGAAGACCATCTGGGGTCCCAGAAATTGAATCCGGACTGGCCATATGGAAGGCAAGCACCCTACATGCTGTACCATCTCTGGCCGCATACCTGAGCATCTTTAAAACTATCCTCTCTTGGTCTTCCCTGTTCTTTCCTGGTTACTCATTAACTTCGTTAATGCACCCCCCTCCCCCTTGCCCCTCCTCTTTATCTTGATTCTCCTTGAGGCATCTCATCTACTTTTTAAACTTGTGCACTCTCTATATTAATGATTGTGTCTCAACTTCAGACCTTCATAACTGCTGCCTGTTTGGTTTCTCTGTAGGTACCTCAGATAATACTTCAAGCCCGCAACTCATTGACTCCCAATCCTGTTTCTCCTTTTCTAATCCGCATCAGCTCATAAAACTGGCATCCACCTAGCCATCTGAACAAGCTGGGCAACACCCTTATGTATTATTCTCCCTTTACTTTCAGTCAGCTATTAAGTCGTTCTGATTACGTGTCCCTCGTGTTTGTTTGGGTGGGAAAAGCTCACCTCTCCATCCTACCCACTTCCTACAATCTATTCCACACTAAAATAGAGTGACCTTTCTGAGAGATAAAAATCATCTTTTTTATTCTAGGTCTTACAACAGCTTCCCATCACCTATGTAATGTAGTTCCCGATTCTCAGTGTGGCATCGAGTACTGTCTCCTGCCTCCCTGCACCTATGCTGTTCCATACCATGCTTTGCTCACACCTTTCTTTCCTTGCCCTTCTTTGCCTAGTTTTCATCTCCCAGTCTAGAGATCCAACTTAGGCTTCACCTCCCCTGGGACGCTTCCCTGAGCTCCCTGATGGGGTAAGGAGCTCCTGCTTGACTTTTTTTTTTGGGGGGGGGGGGAGGGAGTACCACACCCGGCAGTGCTCAGGGGTTACTCCTGACTCAACTCAAAAATCACTCCTCGTGGGCTTAGGACATCATATAAGATGCCATGGACTGAACCCGGGTTAGCCACGTGCACCCAGTCAGGCACCCTACCTGCTGGACTACCTCTCAGCCCCATGCTTCCTTGACTTCCATTGGCATTCACAGGGCCTCTGCCCCAGGTCCTGCTCCTAAGACAAATACAGCACTTGCCAAGTACATTGCCTGTTTCCATCTCACCTATGTGAGCTCCTCCAAAACACCAACATCTGATACAGAGCTTGACAGTCTGTCATTTCGTTCATCACTGTGTGGCCAGTATGTGGCTGCTCAACATGAATGGGAGAACGGACTTCAGAATGGGTGTACCACAATGAATTCTTTTCATTCCCTCCCCTCTTTCCCTTTCATTGTTGGGTTTTGGTTTGGATGGGCTGGGGGAGGGGAAGGGGTGCACACCAGCAGTGTCTAGGGGCTGCTCCTAGCAGTTCTTGAGGTACTATGCAGTGCCAAAGGTCTAACGCTGGCCACCAGCCCATGGAGCTATTCCTATAGCCCGTTGTTATGTTGCTGCAACAAACATGAGTGCACACCGGCCTGGCTCTTATCTCCAGGGCTCACAGCTCAGATTGTGGTGCTCACACAGTGCTTGAAGCTTTGGTCTCCTTTAGTTGTGCTCGCACACATACTTGCCTGTGTTCCTCAACAGGGCATGGTTGTGCTGTTCACACATTTGACAGAGGCCACACTTCCTGACCATGGTCCTCACACATCCTTATTTGAGTTGAAGTATTTGCCAGGTTTCACCCCCTTCTATATTGGCCACAGCCACATGACTATGATACAGCTGGAAACTGCTTGCGGCATTGGGGAACAGACTGCAGAGCTGCCAGGATGACACACAGCACATGTGGGGCATCAGGGATTTGAACTTGTGACCATAAAACTGCAAGGCGCATACTCTAAGCCCTCACAGTTCTTCCAAGTCCAAAGTAAATTCCATAGGTTTTATTAGTGGGTAACTCTTGATTTTGTGCCATCATCTTAATTGAGTCAATAACTGGCACTTAGTGTTCTCATCTGTAAAAATGCTTTTGCCCTCCCAACTTCCCCCTTATATACACACAGCAGTGACACAAATAATACAACATAGGAGAGGATCACAGACAGAAGGTTTGGCGTGGCAAATTTTGGGTCCTTAGTCCAGGCTTACTGATTGCTGAGCAGACAGTGGGCAATTGCTCTGGGCTTAAGCTTGAGGCTGTGGCCCTGCCAGCACCTCCAGCTCCAGCACAGGCTCACATATTCCCAGTGCTGTCACCTCATCCGCCCAAGATAGAAAGGTAAAGATAATGTACCCATCAGTTTTGTTGTTTGGGGGCCATACCCAGTGGTGTTTGGGGGATCATGCTGTGCCGGGGAGTGAACCAGGGTTGGCTGCATACAAAGCACGTGACTCCACCCCTGTACTCTCTCCAGCCCTACCCAAGTCTAATTTTGTCCCCACAGATATGATAAGCGAGGAGCCAAGGGCAGGCCTACGACCACTAAAGCACTCCAAGTCGGGGAAGTCACTGACCCAGGCCCTGTGGCTGAAAAACAATGTCCTCAATGACCTAAAAGACTTCAATCAGGTGGTTTCGCAGGTGATAGAGCATCCCGAGAACCTGGCCTGGATCGACCTGTCCTTCAACGACCTAACCTCCATTGACCCAGTGAGTCCAGTACCTGAGACACCCCCCACACCACCAACCTCCCACCCATTTCCCAGGAGTTAATAAGGCAGCATGAGGCCCTGTGGAGCCACACAGGCACTGGGCTCACCTGGATGGGTGTTCAAATCCTAGACTTGCTCTGACAACTTGTAACCTCTTAAAACCTTATCATGGGCTGGAAAGGATAGGGTGTTTACCTTGCAAGCAACTGACCTGTTTGATTCCCTGGCACCCCATATGGTCCCCGAGCACAGAGCCGGTAATAAGTCTTGAGCAGTGCCAGGTGTGACCCCAAACCCACACACACAAAAAAGATGGGGGTTATGTGCTAAGATGTTTGGGTGGGGGAGGGGGCTGGAGTGATACCACAACAGTTGGGGTGTTTGCCCTGCATGCAGCCGACCTGGGTTGGATTCCCAGCATCCCATATGGCTCCCCGAGCACCGCCAGGAGTTATTTCTTAGTGCAAAGCCAGGAGTAACCCCTGAGCATCACTGGGTGCGACCCAAAAAGAAAAAAAGATGTTTTGGGGGGGGTCCCTGGAGCTATAGTATAGCGGGTAGGGTGTTTATCTTACACACGGCCAACCCAGGTTTGATCCCCAGCATCCCATATGGTCCCTGAGCCCTGAGTGCAGAGCCAGGAGTAAGCCCTGTGCAGAATGTAACCCAAAAACTGCCCCCCCCAAAAAAGTCTGTTTCATGTGGGTTTGTTTTGTGAGAAAATGTTAAGGCTGGAGAAACACATACTTGCTGGCGTTGCTCCCCAACACCATAGAGTACAAGTATGGTTGGGAGCATGGAGGAGGAACCCCCAATGCTCCCAACTCCAAAATAAAAAAGAATATGACACCTATCAGCACATACAGAACAAGCTGAAATAAAATCCCAGTTTTATTAGGCACCTAGTATGCCCAAAGGGTGCAGGGGGGAGGTCCAACTTTGACCCCCCCAGCACTGCAATGTCCTCTGAGCACCAAGCTGAGAGTAGCCCCTGAAGGCCTCCTGGCATGGAGCCCACCATCCTGCCTCCTCCCAAAAGGTCCTTCTTGTCCGCGATCCATTTTAAAGGGTTAAAGAACATCGTCACTTCTGAGTCCAGAGACCTCAATTTACCTATTTGAGGGGGCAGGGGAAAGGAGGGAAGATACGGGTTTGGGTCATACCCAGCAATTCTCCAGGGTTACATCTGGCTCTGCACTCAGAAATCACTCCTGGCAGTGCTTAGGGGAACCTTTGGGGTGCAGGGGACAGAACCCGGCTCGACCGTGTGCAAGGCAAGCGACCTGCCTACCCATTATGCTTTCTCTGGCCCCATCAATTTATTTTAAAAGCAGCTCATGAACATGGGCACTCTCCTCTATCCTTGCCCCTGCTGGAACAGTCTTGCATCACCTGAGCCGGGTCTCAGTGAAGGGGTGTAGGCTCGGGAGGCAGGACCCGGCCCATGCTTCCTGCCCTGCATATCAGTGGCATCCAGCCTGGCTGGCAAGGCTGGAGGGCAAGCTCTTCCCTAAACTCTCCTTTGTCCTGGGCATAGCCCTAACAGGACCCTGTCTAGCCTGGCTTCCAATTTCCTTTCCCAACAGATTCTGACAACTTTCTTCAACCTGAGCGTCCTCTATCTCCATGGCAACAGCATCCACCGCCTGGGAGAAGTGAATAAACTTGCTGTCCTCCCTCGGCTACGGAGCCTAACGCTCCATGGGAACCCCATTGAGGAAGAGAAGGGCTACAGGTAAGCTGATACCCTGGAGCTGGTGCAGCTGGGCTCTCCCCGGAGAATGGAAGAGCAACAAGTCAAGCGTGGGCCTGCACTGTCCAAGGAAGAGGGCCTTGACGCATTCCCTGCTACTGGTCAGGTTAAACTCGGGTTCCCCCAAAACTGCCCAAGGGCCTCTTGCATTCAGAGAATAGTTATAGCAGCCACTGTTGAGGGGAGGAGTTCCTCCCCTCTAAGGGGGCCTAGCCCCCAGCCCGGGTCTTCCCCACAGGCAATATGTGCTATGCACCCTGCCCCGAATTACCACGTTCGACTTCAGCGGGGTCACCAAAGCCGACCGTGTCACTGCTGAAGTATGGAAGAGCATGAACATCAAGCCCAAGAAGGTCCGAGTCAAACACAATCCGCTCTGAGGTTACCATGACCCCAGCAGTGCTCAAGGCCTGAGTGTGGTTGGATAATAAAGATTTTGAACTGTTCTGCATAATGTCACTTGTGTCATGTACACATGTCTTCTGCCCATGGCTCTGGTGTTGCTTGAAGAGGGAGGCAGTGGTGAGACAGGCAAAGGTGCACTGGCCTGAACTCAAATAGGCCTGGGTTAGCTGCACGGCCTGGGGAACAAATCCCACCTCTCTGGTCTCTTCCTGAGACCGTAGCTCGGAGAGCCCAGGACCAGCAAGTGATTCCCAAGCCACAAGCACCAGGGTTCCGTGGACATGCCTCCAGGCCTTCCATGTCAGAAGGACCCAAGTTTTCACCTCCAAAGCCCACGGGCATGAGATCAGAGGAGCTCCACTCTCACTTGCTGGCATTCTGCACGGGCTGAGAATAATCCTCTGATTGAAAACATTTGCTTGTTGACTCTTTATTCCTTGTTCCTGGTCTGGTCTGGATCCCTCCCACCTGCACCCCTGGCTTATTGTTACTTCCACTGAGCCTGAGGCAGTGCCCTGCAGAAGGGCAGCTGTCTCCCCCAGCTGGTTCAGTGTGAGCGGTGTTCCCATTCATTGGAGAACAAACAAGCACGATCCTTGGTGGGAGTGGGGTAAGTGTGTGTGCTGCTAGATATTGAAATTAGGGAATCAACAAGCAGTGTTAGAACAGTGAGTCACATCCCTGCCCCAACCAGTTTTATCATCTGATCTGAGTGTCAGCTAAGACCCTTATCTTCTGAATTCCTCTTAATGGTCCTAAAAGAAACCCCCCACCCAACAATCCACTCGCTGCTCACAGACTGGAGTCACTGAGGTGAGTGGATGTGGTGGGCAAGACAGAGGGGCTACAAGCAACACACAAATGAATACACTTCCTTTATCGAGGGTGACAAACCAAAACAAAACCCCCAAACATGTAAAAACCCAGGGTGCTAGAAATACAAACTCAACTCATACAAATTCAAGCTTGTCTAGACCCTGGTCACAAACCCTAATGAGGTGCTGCAAGCACCAAGTCAGGGAGAGAGGAGGGCAGGAGTGAGGTCATGAGAGAGGGTGGGGGGAGGCCTCTGAGGCCCCCTACAGTGATCACCCTCACAATGGTACCTCCACCTTGCCAGGGGATGGGAGGCGCCCCCGGCCCTGTCCGTTTGACCCCCACCCCGCCCCTGGGCAGGGTTTTGCAATAATTCGACCAGTCCCAAATGGTTCAACCCTCCCTTGCTCCATCCTCACTTGCTCTGGCCTCTAGGCTCGCTCTCCTCCTCCTCCTCCTCCACATTCTTCTGTGATTAGTAGCAGGTTAGGGTACTGTATAAGCCGCAGTGAGGCTGGGGGCCAGGGGGAGCGGGTGGAGACAGGGTGAAGAGAGGAGAAGAGCTGTCCAAGGACCCTCCTCTCTTCACGGGATCCCAAACTGTACCACCAGCTCTTCTTTTGCATCCACACGGATCTGAGAAAGTGCACTGTAGGCGTAAGCAGCTATCCTGGAGACCTGAGAGAATGGGGAGAAGATGGCAGGTTGGGTGAAGGGGGATCCAGAAAGCCGGGACAACAGGTTACAGTACTATAGCCCACTTTGTAGAAACTGAAGTAACACTGAATTGGTAAAGAACATTTCAGCCACACACTGTATACTGTTGGGCCAAGTGTGGATTCAAAGCGTCCCCGAGGTGTACAGACACCATCTGTGCTGTAACTGTGCTGGCTCTCTTAATTCCCTGATAGCCCCTGGACTCTGCCAGGACCACCAGGACTGACACACTGAGCTTCCCAAGAGGAAGTGTGCCTTGGCCCTGAGCAGTGTCAATTACATTTTCTCCCATTCGATCACGTGACTGAAACTGTATCTTGTCCTGGCATCTCAATAGGATGTGGAGGGCAGTGCTCTGTTTTACTGCAGATTGCAGTTAACCTCTGCTCTTCATCGACACAGTGGCATGTGGTTTCAGGGTATAAACGTGATCGTTCTCTTTGACCCACTGTACAGTGCTTGGGAGGGACAAATAAAGCTTTTTGTCCATCTTTCCTACTTGGCTTTGGCAGCTCTTGCGAACTCGGGTGCAGCAAGAGTGAAGGGACAGTGGGGCACAGGAAGTCACGGGGAAAGGCAAGGTTGAGAGGAGGCGATGGGAAAGGGTCCCCACTCCGCCCCCACCTCCTCAAGAAGCGGGCTGTGGGCCGTGGGAAGGCAGAGGGTGGGCTGGAGGCTCACCTGCTGCAAGTCAGAGAAAGGGATGGGCTCGCTGGCCAGCACTTGGTGGGGCTGGCTGGTGAGAGACGGCAGCGGTGGCGGCTTCTTCCAGTGGGTCAGGCTGCTGCTCAGCACAGCCAGGCGAGTGCTGGCCAAGAAGGAAGGGCGGGGTGGGCTGTCACCCAGAGTCCAACGGGCCCCAGCCTGCCCAGCCCAGGTCAGCCTCCCTCCCCCAGGCCAGAGAAGCAGCGTGACCCAGCCTTAGCACACCACGGACTCACTCCAGGCCCGTCTCCCGTGACCTCCCATGACCAGAGTGGCAGACCAGGCAGACAGGGCTGACAGGGACACCGCCCAAAGCACCGAGGGATCTGCAGTCAGTCCTGGACCGGAACCGGAGAGGAAGGAGGCACCCGAGAGCTGGGGGGGCGCCGCGGGCCAGGCGCTCACCTGTACTGTCGCGCCCGGTCCATGTACTCATGCTGCTCCATGCCCTGGGAGTCAGCGGCAGACACATCGATGATGTTGCTTCAGGGAAAGGAGGCAGAAAGGTCATGACAGGTGGCTTGGAGCGGGACAGACAGAGCTCACAGGCATGCCAAGCCCGGGCTATCTGACACCAGGGTCGGGGCCTCTCCACTGGGACAGGCGGGGCTCGATGGCAGCGCTCCCCACAGACCGGGGGCCCAGCCCTGTGCCCATGATGCTCACCTGGCTGTCTTGGCGAGGATGGAGGAGAGCAGGGCCTGCTCGTCTGTGCGGGCAGAAGGCAGGCTGTGGTAGTTGGGCTCGGCTCCATTGAGGGTTTTGGCAGGAGGGCTGCTCGGCAGAAGCAGCTTCCGCTCCTCTTGGTCCTAGGAGAGACCATGGGGGAGAAGTCAACCCCAGGCCCCTTAGTCCCACCTGCCACTCCTGGGCTCTCCTCAGCCCAGTTCTGACCTCTCACACCAAAAATAGCTTGATGAGGAAGAGCTCAGGCGCCCAGCTGGAGCGTATGTCCACTAAGATTCAGCTCCTGCCTGCCCACAGGCGCCCAGCTGAGTTGGGGCTCTGGGATGAATTCATGCGGAACCAAGTCCCTCCAGCAGCCATGGAAAGCGGGAGAGAGGCGGGTACTCGACAGCAGCCCGGATGCTTTAGGAGAAAGCCAACCGAGACTGGAAACCAGTGGCAGGGCCTGGAAAAGGAGGCAATGCCAGCCTCCCCCTGCACAGGTCAGTGCTCTGCACCAGGGTGGAGTCCAGACAGGCCTCAGGCTGCAGGCTCCCCCTCTCCTTCCATTATTTCAGGACAGAAGTCCCACTGCCCCAAGGTACACATGCTCACACAGAGCTTCCTTCTACCCTGGAGCCAGCTACATCTCTGGTACACCCGGGGGTCCTGAGAGAGGAGGAGATCAAGGGGGGAGGTGCACGACTGTCCCCTCCCATGCCAAGCCACCACTGCTCTATTAAAGCAGCTTCAATCGTGTGTGTGTGAACCTGTTTTTGATTTGGGGGAGCCTCACCTAGTGGTGCTCGGGGGAATAGTCTCGGGTCAGTACTCGGGAACAAACACTGCTGAGAACCCCTAGTTACCCTGCATGCAAAGCAACTGCCACGACAGCCCCCTGAGCTCTCCCTGGCTCCCACCACAGCAGTCTTGGTGCCTGCCTGACATGATGATGGCTTCTATGCCAGCCAGGGCCAAGCCAAGTCTCCAGAGTCCCAGTCTGCAGATCCTCTGTGTGCTTCACCGCCACCCGCTCCTGTTTTTATCGCCCTAGATCGAATCTGTTATCTTTCTGGATAAAATCTGCCTTGAGTCCATCAACTTCAAATTCCTGCTGGCTTTGTGCTGACCGCCAACTGGATAAGCAAATCTGCAGGTACCCATCTGTACCGCAAAGACAAGGGGCACAGGTGCCCAGGGGGCCCTCCTGGTAAAAGATGAGTCACCAACCCCGTGTCAGAACCGCCTGACTCCTCTGTGCTCCACCCCAGACCTATTTCGGCTCCTTCTCAATTCCCCTGCCCACCCCACAGCTCTCAGCAGCCACTTCCTCCAAGCCAGCAGCCCTCCCAGGCACGCCCCACCTCTCCAAGTTACTCTTCCTTCTCACGTAGTGTCCTCATCTCCCAAGAGCACCAAGAGATAGAAAAACTGGGCTTCGGCCCCATCACCTTCCACTCCCAGACAACCCCTTTCTCTTCTTAAAACTTGGGCAAGTTTTGGGGCTGGAGCGACAGTACAGTGGATATGGAATTTGTGCTTCCTGGGCCAACCCGGGTTCGAGCCCTGACACCCTGTATGGTTCCCTGAGCCTCACCAAAGAAAACCCCTGAGCAGGGTATCCCACTTGCTTGTGTCTATGTCTCTTTGCTTGCTCGCCCTTTCCACTGTGGAAAAGTCCCGAGTCCTCTCTTAAGCGGGTACTTCCTCCCTTTCTCTCCCCTCATATCTGAGTAAGTCGTAATAGAAAATATCTTGCTTCACTAAAAGAAGGGAAACAAAACCCAAAACACCACCATAAGAAATTCAGTCATGTCTTGATTTTTTGGTTTTCAGGTCTACCCTGTTGTGCTCAAGGTTCACGCGTGGCTCTACAATCAGGAATCATTCTTGGCAGTGCTGGGAGAAAAGCAAGTGCCCACCCCACTGTACCCTTTCTGGCCCATTCTGAAACTCAGGCAAGTCTTTTTTTTTTTTTCTTTTTGGGTCACACCCAGCGTTACTCAGGGGTTACTCCTGGCAGTGCTTGGGGGACCATATGGGATGCTGGGAATCGAACCTGGGTCAGCCGCATGCAAGGCAAACGCCCTACCCGCTGTGCTATAGCTCTAGCCCCTCAGGCAAGTCTTCAAAGACTTCAAAGACAGAACACATGCCAACGATTAAACTACTTGAAAAATTTTAAAAAATGATCAAACTAGTTGGAGAAGGAGAGCTAGCTCCATAATGACACCAAGTGTGCTTCCAACCTGAGCTTTCCCCTCTCTGGGCCCCTATCCCTAGGCAAGTGGAACATGAGGAAGTTTTTTCACACCAAGGTTTGTGCCTAATTCAGGTTCAACTAG